GACATTAATAAGAAATAAGTCACATTTTTTTCATATAAAATGGCATGATTTGTACCCTCAGTGAGTGGGGGAAACACACAGGTAAAATGGTAATTACTGCAATGTGTTGTGGCCCCTCTGAATTAAAAAAAATGGTCCCAAATACATGGAAATGATGAACTGGAATCTCCCCTGAGCTCTGAAAAGATCTGTGACTTTTCTGTCACTTATGGTGTAATTTCCCTAGATGTGAGCTTCACGCTGACTCTGATCAGAGGGCAGTATCTATATTTGGGTGAGCCTTACTCTGCTTGGGTTGTTGATGGTCTGTGCCTATTAGAGTTTCTCAATACATAGATATAGAAATTTCTAAGATGGGGGTGTAAATAAGCTAATTTAACAGATTATTTTAAGTTTAGCAAGGTCTTTGAATTAATAAATCACAGGGATCACATTTTGGTAAGATGGGGACGGGGAAGTAAGCAGAGAATGAACGATAGGGACTCTATAGCAGGCTTTGGGTTGTCAACACAATGTATCTGGGAGATAAAACGAGCGAGGACCAAAGAGATGGCTGGAAAGCGCATCTACCTGTCAGTTTTAAGGTCAGAGAGAAACCTCATCCACCTGTCAGTTTTGCTTAGGCCAGACGTGGTTGTTAGCACCCATGAGCTCTGACATGTCTACGTATTTAATGTACTCCAAAGGAAGTAATCATTTCACCTATTGACTTTCTGTTCAGCTCTTCCTGTCAGTGAAGGTTATTATCTTAGTGCATCATGTCCCTCTCTGCCTGTTTCTTGAAAAATTTGCCAGAACCTGTAGATTCTACCTTTTTACACCATCTCTCATCTGTTTCCTCCTTTTTATTCCCATTGAGAGAATAAAGTTCAGGGCTTCGTTACCTCTTGCCTAGATTATTGATGCTGTCTAATGAGATGTTATCTCTAGTTTCTTTCTTTCTTTTTTTTTTTTTTAAGAGACAGAGTCTCACTTTATTGCCCTGGGTAGAGTGCTGTGGTGTCACAGCTCACAGCAACCTCCAACTCCTGGGCTTAGGCGATTCTCTTGCCTCAGCCTCCCATATCTCCAGTACTCTTATCTGCTGAAATCAAATCAGATGTCAGATAGCTTTCTTTTTGTTTTTAGATTTGCCCTAAACTTGCAATATTTCTTTTTTTTTTCTTTTGAAACAATCTCACTATGTCGCCCTCTAACTCTTGGGCTTAAGTGATTCTCTTGCCTTGGCCTCCAAAGTAGCTGGGAGTATAGGTGCTCACCACCACCCCCAGCTATTTTTTTGTTGCAGTTGTCATTGTTGTTTAGCTGGTCCGAGCCAGATTTGAACCCTCCCGCCTTAGCGTATGTGGCTTGAACCCGCCAGAGTCAGTGTATGTGGCTAGTGCCGTAACCACTGTGCTACAGGTGTTGAGCCTAAACTTGTAATATTTCTGCTAAACAAAACATCAGTGGGCTCAGCACCTGTAGCACAGTGGTTACGGCCTCAGCCACATACACCGAGGGTAGTGGGTTCAAATCAGGCCTGGGCCAGCTAAACAATAATGACAACTGCACCAAAAAAATAGCTGGGCATTGTGGTGGGTGCCTGTAGTCCTAACTAGTTGGAAGGCTGAGGCAAGTGAATCTCTTAAACCCAAGAGTTTAAGGTTACTGTGAGCTGTGATGCCATGTAACTCTACCCAGGGCAACATAGTGAAACTTTGTCTCAAATAATAAAAAAAAACAATCAGTGATCACTCACTGACAGCAAGAAAACTGATGGTAGACTTCTTTCTCTGGCATTGAAAGTCAGTCAATAATGCCTAATTTTTCTTTTAATCCCTTTTTCTCTATTACTTTAAATAGTTGCTTAACTTGCTGCAACTGTTCATGAACATTCCCCACCAAGTATTTGCACGATGTAGTTTGCAGTCCTGATGTTGCTCCGACATGGAGTAGGTTCTTCTCCTTTCCTGTCCAAATGCTATTTATTTGACACCTGATTTAGATACATCGTTTGTAAACATTTTCTGATTTTTTAAAATTACATATGATCAAATTTTCCTCTGTACTATCATAACTGTGTAACCAACGTCATGCCAGGTATTTGTTTGTTCCTTTCTATTATAGTTTTAATTTTTCATGTTTTTCCCTTTGGATTGTGAACCGAGTAAGGGAAGAAACTGTTCATTATTTCCTGTATCTT